TTTTGGGAAGACACTGCAGGCAGACCCGTCACCGCCGACAATCAACTGCACCCCCCACCCTGCATTATTCGTCGGCGGCCGTGTGAGGCGGACTTTGATATTATCAAACTCATATCCAATGGCGCTTATGGGTGAGTCTTTGTGTGTCCTCTGCACCCGCCACTCCCTGCTCAGCCCTCGATAACAATTTTTTTGGTTTGGGACGGAGACTTTAGACAGAAAGAATTCACGCTCAACGTAAGCCGCCATACCTACTTGCGTCGTTTCGATCGATGCCCCTCCTCCCTCTGTCTGTGGGGACGTAATGCTGAATTGCGCGTGACTGCGTTTGTCGTGTAGGGGACTTTGGGAAGCATCTACCTTCCAGCGATACTGTCTGCCAGCTTCAGTTACACAGCCCGTCGACACGTACCCTAAGGAACCCGACCCCCAACTCCACACCTACCAGGGTTCCATGAGGTAGTCCTTGCACAGGCAAGAATGTCGTAGAAGTTACGTTGAAGAGCCATTACAGTCTGGGCCAGATTTTGGCCTCATCACATGACAACATTCCAAACCGCGATCGATTGCGCCTCTGGGTAGTTTCAAACCTCTGGTGGCCGTATTTCTTCGCACCCTCACTTCCCTATGCCTTGCCGAATCTGCTTGTTCTACTAGTCATATCCGCAACGGCAGAGAACCAGTCCAGAGGGGACTTTTCAGGATTTTCTTTCTGATAAACCTAGGCTGCTCAACCTCAGCGATGTACAGTACGCGCCAGAATTCATGCAACATGCCGAAATATGCGACAGATTGAAACTCTCTCGCTAAACGGCCTTGACTCAGTTTGTGATACTGATTACCGTGTAGTCTATTCTGAAGTTATTTCAGTCAGGATAGGATGCGAGCTTTTTAACGAGCTTCGTTCTGACCACTTACAACGTGTATGTACTGTAAAAAGTAACTACTTAAACAGTATGCGTTTTTCTCATTGATTTTGACTGCCTTTATCAATTTAAATATATTTAATGGAAAACATTCAGCCGTGTGTTTTTCTGATTTTCCACTGGTTTGCGACGCAACTGTGAGGGGGTCCGTTCACATGCATTCCACATCCTTTCTGGTGTAGTTAAGGGTTGCAGGTGGGGAATACCCTTGAGGGTCCTATTACTGTAAAGTAGCCATATAACTTTTACGGTCAATATGAAGTTATAGCCAGCTAACATAGCGCGCATTCGGGTTGGGTTGTCGCCGAATAATTCGAAACAGTATGAAAACAAACTAGAGCCAGGAAAATATTTGCAATGCTGGTTATAAGAAATCGTGTTGTCATAGTTGCCTTTTGTCATATATAAGGTTTTCCAGTCTTCTTTTAAAATCACCAATGGTGTGATGTTATTCATCCCCACATCTCACTGTTACGCACGAAAACAGAGGATGCATTTTATTAACTTCTGTCTACTGTGAGATTATATATATTTTTAATGTCCCTCTCTATGACTACTATTACTCATAACACTTTGCTCTCTGTAGAGGTTTATCCAAATAATTTGACATTTTCCGATGCTTTTTCCCTGGCTGCAGTCACGAAGGAGAAGGTATGCTAAAAACACTGATTATTTTTAAAGCCATTTACCCGAGACCTTGCGTGAACACCTCACGTACCTTTTAAAATACCAGTAGGGGCAGGAGGTGAGCGACTTGCGTATCTCACGAATTGAGGCAAATTTTCGCATCCCAGGTATGTGTGCAGATAGAGAAGTAGAAGGCGTCGCGATCACCGGAATCATACTTTTACTTGTCCGAGCTTTCGAGCTCTTTCTAGAATCCATCATCAGAGATAAAGGGCGTAAACGAAAGACAAGCAACAATTATAGGTCGCAGGGGCCAATCAACCGTTACGGAGGGAAGGGGGGACAGTCAACCACCAGTGCTACCTGTCTGGGGGTGCCTGCGCAGCGCGATGTATGCCGGCGCCAGATCGGCACGTCGATTGACTGAGTTCTCATCCGAGGCCCAGGCTTCAATCAATTCGCGGCCCGTTTTGTTGCTATTTCTTATCTGACGCTAGTCTGGAGCCGGCGCGTATGCCTGACTTGTAGTCGCAGTCGCTGCAGCAGATTTAGTTGGTCGGCTCCTCCGGCGTGTTTCTACCCGATTTCCGGACTTTTTTTCTAGGCTACGGTGCAACTCGCTTTTCTAGCTTTACTAGACGCAATGACGCGGCGGTATTCGTGCGGTGGAGGTGTTGTTTCAATCGTTCAGTTGACCTAACATGCTGCTGTTCCAGGCAGCACAGCTAAAGCGGCCCTGTTTTCCGCGTCTAATCGCCCTCTCTCCGCCTTTCTCTCCTTTAGGGCTGTCTATCTGGTTCGTGATCGAATCACTCACGAGCGTTACGGCATGAAGAAGATGAAGAAAGAGTACCTGCGACTGCGAAATCAAGTGGATCAGGTATTCGCTGAACGCGACATTCTCGGTTTCGCGGACAATCCCTTTGTGGTGAGCCTATACTGCACATTTGAGACGAAAAAGTGTCTCAACCTGGTCATGGAGTTTGTCGAAGGTGGTGATGTGGCCACACTGCTGAAGAACATCGGTGGGCCCCTGCCCGTAGACCTCTCACAAATGTACTTTGCCGAACTCGTACTGGCTCTGGAGTACCTACACAACTACGGCATCGTTCATCGTGATCTCAAACCGGACAAGTAAGCGCCTCTATCTCTTCCTTGTTTTCTTTTTGTATGCTCGTTTCCTGTCGCGAGGCCTCCAATTAGCGGTTGTTTTGTTATGTATGTTCTTTTTATATTTGTTTATAGTCATTCCGCAGGTGTGGATGCATTTACTTAGCGGATAGCCTACGGTAGACTACAACTCAGCACTCAGACACCATGGCAGAAGATTACGGTTGGCTGATATAGCATCACAACCAACTTTTGATATTAGCCAATGCTTTTAAAGACGGCGTAAAAAAGTGAAGCACGTAACATACTGTCAACTGGCAGTCGGACTGTAACGTGTTTGAAATGGATGGCAGCTTGATGTGCGCTTTTAGGGAAATGAAATTTGATTTCTAGACCTCAATGTCCGTAGTTTTATCGCCTGACTCTAGGAGCGCTCCGAATTTTTACTGGTGTATTAGTGAGTTGCGCCTCCTTGAGGTCTGGCCTGTGTACTTGAAGGTGTACGTGCGGCAGCCAGTGCAAGATAGCTGCTGTCTTGCATTTAGTTGTTTATTAATTCACATGCCTCTCATACACAATAACTAAATAGATGAGCAAGAGGCCCGAAAAGTAAGCTTTGACAGTAATCGCTGTGACATATGCAGTGTTTCCTCGTCAACTTACCCACCTACCCGATCCGAAACTTTGCGCTTCAAGTTAAATCATATTACACGTGATTTGTCAGTAGTGCCAGAACCAGCTTCGCCTGCATACCAGCGCCACTCTGCCCTGATCTGCACACCATGTGTCTTTTCACCGACGTCTGTTAGTCATAAGGAGTTTCGAAGACGTTCTCTGTTTCACGCAGTGAAGCATTAGGAGAACAATAATATGTCGACTTTACTGGCGGTCGGATCCGACTAGTTCCTATGAGTTTCCGATCACTCACTACTAAACTATAGGTGGGGGGAGTAAAGTTTGTCATGAGCCAATACACCTAATGAAATAGAATAGTCTCCTCTGATACATTGCTGATTGTCTTACGTTAAGCCACCTATCTGCATCCTATTAAATGAAATGTGTAGCTTTAAAAATAAAGCAATATATGCCTGCCCGATTCCGCGTGCGTGTATAATCACTTTAACTGGTCTTCGATCTCTCTAGGCATGTGATTGAGTGGCTGATGCTCTATGTCGAGAGGATATGGGTTCCAGGAAGCGAGTAAGGAGATGCGATAGTTGGAAAAGCGGTTTAATTCGCCTGCCCTTTCGAATTCCCACCCGGACTGCTCACCATTGTTGCCTGTGTCAGCGTCGACGAACCGAATGACCGGGCGATTAGCGCACCAATAACCAAAACAGCAGTGATGAGATTAGGGCAATTAACAGTCCGATTGTGAGCAATTAAAGCACCATTTCCAACCATCTGCGATGAATGCAAAAGGCCTTAATTTTGATTAGTATGCATTGCATCCGGTGAGAACTGGTGTACTTGTACAACCATTATCCGTGCGATCTGATGCCGTCTCTGATATTGGATTCGAGTGTTTATCTAAAATGGCAGGTGTGAACAAGACCTTTCTCCCAACGAGCGAGTATCCTTCTTGAAGGTTAGCAGTCTCGTTTGCTCTTATTCTCAACTCCTTCAAGTTTTCCGCCAGTACCCAGGCGACTATCGCTAAGGGCAAAAATATAATCAAACTACGTCTGTTTACGTGCTAGGCGCAATAGTCATTCCTGCGCCTGAGGGTGCCTTACATTGTCACTCCCGATATCCGACTCAGGCTATTGTTGTTCCTGCTGGGTTTGTGGCAGTGGTTTGTTTTTGCGGAGACATTTTTTTATTAGACGTTGTTATGTATAATTATTCTATTGTTAACCTCACTGCTTACAGTTGTCTGAACATCGACCGTTGGGTGTATCCCAGTGAAGGCAGTTTCGTATACTAAAATTTAGCAGGAACACGTGGTTAACCCCACCCTATTCATGTCCAGGGACCACTTTTCGCACAAAAAACGTTTGTTTGATGTTAAGGCATATGGATTCGATTTAAGGTCCCCAACTGAAGAAATCCTTCCATACTTAACCCGAAAATGGATGCTACTACGTGAACAGAGTTCCATTTTCCCTGGTGGATTATTTTCGTAGTATACTAACCCAGCCTGTAGCATGTAAATATATATTGAGGTTGATTTACCCTTCGCCCAGCGCGGATATCAGCTAAAATATTAGACCCTTATTTCACCGATTTCGTACCGCTGTTTAGAGCGCAGCAATAAGCGGTTTGGCTCACCAGTGGATCCTACGGAGTACACTATTTTGTTTGTTGTATGCGACGTTTCTCGATTTCTGTGTTAAGCCCCTGTTTGCTGGTTCATCCTTCAGCCCAAAAATGAAGGCAAGTAGTTAGCGCTTGGCTGTCCACATTAACTTATTATATATTAATATTATTCTGAATGGTCACAAATATGAGAGGGCCAGGTAATTGAATAGAAGACAGAAGCGCGTTCTCTGGGACCAGTTGTTTATTTGCCCGACGTTTCGAACTCTCACTCAAACCTATTGTCAAGGAATAAAAAAGTGTACAGCTCACTGCTTTTTTAGGTTATCTCTACCGGGAGTGACCTTGAGCTCTGCTATCGGTTTGTTCGCGCAACGCAGATATGGGATTGGCGTCGCTCACAGACCGGAAGCGACAATCCGTAGGTAACTGATGCAGCCTAAAGACCCGTTAACCAAAATCTGGTGTCATTTACTGCGTCCACTGTCTTTGTGGTCAAGCCAATTATGTTAGTGAAACCGGCAAACAGGTTCCCATGAGACTGCACCAGCACGAACCCGCCGTGTGACGGAAGGACAAGCTACCCTTGGTAGCTGCCCACGCATCCTCGCCAGAGCCTGACTTTGACTTCGAACGCATGAGAATACTATGCCAGCCAGACGACCGAACGTCATGCCTGCATGGCACTCAAGTGCAGATTCTCTTAATAGGCATATCGATCTTCCAGGTGACTGTCTGACGTTGCGTCAACAAATCAGTGGCGGAGCTCAAGGTCACTCCCGGCAGAGCTTAGCTAAACATGCAGTGAGCTGTACGCTTTTTTATCCCTTGAAAATAGGCTCGCGTGAGAGTTCGAAACGTCGGGCGAATAAACAACTGGTCTTAGAGAACGCTTTCCCATCATATATTTATGTGGTGTAGAAGGGGAGAACCAGCCTGCATTTTGGTAGCGAAGACTGCAAAAACGCCTTTCAAAAACTTGCACTTGCACAGAAGGACAATTGCGTCAAAAAGTAATGTTTTATGTCTCAGAATGCCTACCGCGTTACCTCTTAGTTGGATGAAAAGACCGCCCACAGAATGCGAAAAACCTGCACCCCTGTCCTGTGGCATTTTACATGCTCAAATGTACTATCTAGAGAAATTATGGCCTTTGTGCTTGTATTGGTTTGTGAACACAGAGGCGTACACCATCGCCTAATGTTGTAGGACCGCGACTTTACGCCGAATCCTTTGGTTGCACACTAGTCTCACGTGCTGTTTAAAGATTTTTTTAAAATCCGATTTGCACTTTTTTAAAGTTCTGATCGCTGGCGTCACTCAACAATTAGTGCAATTACGGTTTTATAATCGCCTATGGGCGTTTCGATAATTCATAACATAGGCTAGAACGTTTGCACTTAACGATTTGCCTAGCATATTACGACAGTTCCTCCCTCCCTCGCGGACGTCAACCTTTATAGTGCGCCACAGGGACAGCAACCGGTGCATAAATTAGTTTGTACTGAGCCATTCACCATACCCTCGCCTCCCTCACTCGTCTGACATAACTAAATAGCCCGTCTGCCCGTGCCACACACTGTAGACCAAGAGTCGCTGGGATCCCATGTATTTGAGCATGCAATGAAGGTTCTATTCATCCTGAGAGGACCGCGTTAACCAGTCTTCGGTCCGTGTTTTGTCTGGCTACTCGTCATCGACGCATTTACGCTGTTCCTTTGCGCCCCGTGTCATCTGTCTCCTTTGCTATTGCTTTCTGCTTATGTCTCTGCTCGTGTCTCTGATGATGTCTTCTTTGTGTTAGATCGTCTTCCTAATGTCTCCTCGCTGTCTTTTTGTTTCCTTCAGCCTTCTTATAACCCACGAGGGCCACATCAAGCTGACCGACTTCGGTCTCTCGCGAATCGGCCTGATGAATCTGGCCACAAATCTCTACGAGCGAAGTCTTGACCTGGAGAGGGACTGCAAGATGTTCCGGGATAAACAGGTCTTCGGCACGCCGGAGTACATCGCGCCTGAGGTCATTCTGCGTCAGGGCTATGGTCAGTGCCTCTGCCAAAGCTACTAAATTCACGCACGCACAGTCTACTGTGCCGTCTACAGTCAACAAACACACGTCACTCTCTCTCTTTGTTTCTCTCCTTTAGGCAAACCTGTTGACTGGTGGTCTTCCGGTATCATCCTCTACGAATTTATCATCGGCTGCGTTCCCTTCTATGGCGACACCATCGAGGAGCTGTTCTCAAACATAATTTCAGGTGAGTTACAGTCTCAGCTGTGACTTGGCATACCGCATTTGCAGGGTGCACACCGGGCCGCCGAAAACTCACGGGTGTCTCGTCGTCAGCTTGTGCACATTGTGTCTGTGAAGCCACCCCGAATTTTGTTACATCGGGAGGCGGCTGGGAGGAGGAAATTAGAAGTAGCAGTTAATGTGTGAATGTGATTAATTTTTGCACATGTCTGTTATTCTGAAGACGACAATTTGCTACTTGCAGTCGGGAGAAGGGGCTTTGCTACTGCCGCGTGCACGCCCGGCTGCTGTTTCTTGTGTTTTCAGACAGACAGGGGCTTGATCGGTGATGAGCGCTCACCCATCGCTAACTGAACTCACTATTCCCATCCTGCCTTTGGGCGGCTCTGTTTCGAGCCGCGCAGTGGCTAGTAGTGCACACAGATGAACATTGCTGGCAAAGCCGACGGAGACTGGAATGGCCGCCATTTCTGACTCATTAGCCAGTCATCATCAGCCAACCCCAGTTGGTGCACCATCCGAGGCTCGAGCCCTCCACTGGTTGCTTAGAAGTGCGACGTTCTAACCTATTGGCCGGCCGATGATGACTAGTGAGCCAGAAATGGTCATTCCATTCTGCCTTGCCTGTGTGTCGGCAATGTTCATCTGTCTACACTACTAACCGCTGTGCGGCCGTTAGCGGGACTCGAGACTGAGAGACTCAAGGTAGAACTGGACGAGAGGCGGCTTCATTTAGCGGTCCGCGAGCGTTAGTCAACTCTAAGGATGTTAAGTAGGTTTCTTCTACAACAACGCAAGGCTAGATTCAAGTGGAATTTTTCCACTCAACCATGTCCATTGGTCTCCGGCACACACTACATTAGTTGTTTTCTAGGATAGCTCCTTTATCCATAGAAGGCCCACAGATAGGTGCAGTCAGAAGTATATGTTCTCCTGTACTTTTAATTGAACCCCTATAGGTGTTAAGGCTAAGACGATTAACCCTAACAGCTACAATCTTCCAGGCCCGGTTC